AGTGAGACTCCAACTCAAAAAAAAAAAAAAATATGCAATTCCTCCTTAAAATATGGTGGAAAAATACAAGCGGGGTGTGGCTAGAGGACACTTTCTGAGTGCTGTCTGCCTTTTAGTATATTCCTAAAGTTGTGCAGCCATCACCATGGTCTAACCCTATATCATTTCCACCGTTCCCCAAAGAAACCCCATACACAGTAGCAGTCATTCCCCATTTCCTCCCCCAATCCTAAACAACTACTAATCTGCTTTCAGTTCTATAGATTTGCCTCTTCTGTACATTTCGTATTAATAGAATCACACAATATGAGGTATTTCGTGACTGGCTTCATTTACCTGGCATGATTTTTTTCAAGGTTCTTCTGTGTTCTAGCATGTTTCACTACTTCATTCCTTTCCATTGCCAGATATCGCTTTGTTGTGGATATACTCTATTTTGCTTATCTGTTCATCAGTTGATGAACACTTAGCTAATATGAAGAGTGCTGCTGTGAAAATTTGTGTACAAGTTTTTGTGTGGACGTATGTGTTCATTTCTCTCTGGTACATAGCTGGGAACGGAATTGCTGGGTCGTATGGTTACTCTGTTTAGCATTTTGAAGAATGGCCAAGCTGTTTCCCAAAGTGGCTGCACCATTTTGCATTCCCCAGGAATGTTCTATCACGAGTGATTATTAAAATCAAGCACAGGTGTTTGTACTCAACATGGGAAGAGTCCTTGTAGAGTTTTGAGCACAGTTAAGGTGATGTTATTGGAATACTTGTTACACATGGCTGTGGAATGAGAGATTAAAGACAAGGAAGCAGGTACGAAGTGCTGTAGTAATCTCATTGTCAGCTGATGGGGTCTCTGTTAGGATGGTGGCTGTGAGAAGATGTCAGGGTTCCTGAAGAGCATATTGGGCGGTGGAAATGATTCTCAGGCTGGTGTTCATCTGACGCTGATTCTCAGCTGCTTGCTCAACCTTTGCTTTTGATCTTGATCTTGCAGAAAACAAATTTCTATTTTTGGAGAAGCAGGAAAGAGAATACAAGCCTTGCCGTTATGTGATGAAGAACCATCCCATGACCAGAGCAGATTTTTTGGCCTTTGACTTGCCTAGGGATGCCTTGGGAGCTTTGGATCCTTCTAGGCCATACAGGCTGTCCACCATGAAAGCCAGGGGAGCTGGTCCAATTCTTCCTGTCAGTAGCAGCAATGAAATGCTGGATTTTGGATATCTAGCATTTACATGGATAGTGTCGTGTGTGTGTGTGTGTGTGTGTGTGTGTGTGTGTGTGTGTGTCCCTCTGTGCACAAGTGTGCGAGTATATACTGAGTAGTTTGAGCATCTGACATAGCAAAAGGGAATGAGAGCCCTTAGCAACAGAAGTTTTCTAGCTAAGTAGCAAAACCTGCCGTAACTCTAGGATTTAAAAATTGCCTATCAAGCTGTTTATCCTATAATGGAATAATAGGTATAAGCCTGCCACAACCCTGGGAACTTGCAGTTGCTCAGTGAGGCTTGTTACAGAGGCCTCTTTCTCTACTTGGCACAGTTATCCCCCTTATGGTTTTTAGTTTTTTTCTCTGTGATTTATTCTCAAACATTTTGTATTTCTTTTTTGCCATTTAGATGAAATTTAAATAAAGCCATTAGCTAAAGAGCCATGGCAGTCTGTTATACCTTTTCAATTCGGGATAAAATCAATCTGTATGCCGTTCTCTTTTCAAATGAAGCGAAAAACACCTGCAGTTTGGCAGTTATCTGTTACTTGCTGTTTTTATTCTGTGCTGTACCAAGTTCCTCCTGGCGTATCTAACCTCGCTGTGATTGCCCTACAGAGAAAAGAAAACAGGCGTGAATAATGGCCCCAGTTTTCTCCTATTTCTTGTGTCCTCCTTGGTCTTCCTTTTTCCCAATTTAGGTGGGCTCTTCCTCTTGAAACCCCTCATCTCACCCTAGTTCCCTAAAAGAGAGGAAAGAGGAGGCTAATTGGTAACTAGACTTTAACCCCAGAACTCACTGCTGCCTTGATCTTCCTCTCAATAGAAGTGTTTTCAGCCGGGCACAGTGGCTCAGCCTGTAATCCCACACCTTTGGGAGGCTGAGGTGAGTGGATTGCTTGAGCCCGCGGTTCAAGACCCGCCTGGGCAGGCGAGACCTCATCTCTACAATAAATCAAAAAATTAGCCGGGCGTGGTAGTGTGCGCCTGTAGTTCTAGCTACTTGGAAGGCTGAGGCGGAAGGATCGCCGGAGCCCAGCAGGTCAAGGCTGCGGTGGCCGGGAGTGGCCACTGCACTCCAGTCTGGGCGACAGAGTGAGACTCCAACTCAAAAAAAAAAAAAAAAGAAGAAGTGTGTTCAGGGCATATACCTGGGATAGATAAATTGAGGCCATCTTTTTTTTCTGTGACAGATGATGTTAAGACTTCTGTTGAAGCTATATCTGAGATAAGTGACACATCATGGTATGGTGGTTCTCAAATGTTTATTTTTCCTTCCCTTTCTCTAGGTTTATCCAAATCCCTTGGGCTCATTGAAGGTTATGGTGGGAGGGGCAAAGGGGGCCTTCCTGCGACCCTTTCCCCGGCTGAAGAAGAAAAAGCCAAGGGCCCCCATGAGAAGTATGGCTACAATTCCTACCTCAGTGAAAAAATTTCACTGGATCGCTCCATTCCGGATTATCGTCCCACCAAGTAAGTTCTGATTCAGTCATTCAGAGGAGCTTACTCAGTCATGTGGATGGGTGTAGATCCTGAGTTTGTGATATTTTCTCATATTATTTGTAACTTTTAGGGGAGTTTTAAAAATCTTAGTCTCCTCTCTAATCAATACACTTAGTATGATTGTTGCTCATAAAATATAAATAAAATAGTTAAATTGTTATAAAAATGACCCAGAAACCTATAGAGAGATCTTCAATACAAAAAGTTTTAAATGAAAAAAAGCACCAAAATCTTGTTACTTAGATGCAGCAGCATTTAAAGTTTTAATGTACTGTCTTTGAGTCTGTTTGATGTTAATAACTATAATCTATTTCTGTTGTTGGACGTCTAGGGAATTTTCAATATTTCATTATTATATATGACATTCTGTTGAATATTTTCTCATTTACATCTTTATGTGTATTGACTTGCTATTTACTTAATCTACACTTCTAAAGGTATAATCCTTCGATCACAGTGCATGAATATTTTTAGAGGCTCTTGATATATACTGTAATATTTTCTTCCAGAAAATGTATAGTAATTTTATTCCTATCAGAATTTTACTAGACCCTTCCAATACTGGGTACTAACCTTTAAAAAAATGCTTTGCCAAGTTGATAGGTGAGAAAATGCATCCTGTTATTTTTTCAACTTATGCTTTTTTTATATGAGATTCTTACCTTTTAAAAGGTTTGGTTGCATCTTGATTGGCTTATGGGAAGTCTTTGTTCTGTGTGCTCAGATTTAAGAATTATTTATTTCCTGCCTGTAAAACAGAGAAAAGAGATTGAATGGAGTAAAAATGCTGGCAAAAAAGCCCCTATTTTCTAGGCAGGATTTCACCTTGGCTTCTCAAAGAGATTCTGTATTTCTATTAGATTTATAGTTGTCTCTCTTTTTTTCATTTAAAGTGTGCCCTTGCTTGGAATAGATTATTTCTTTATCAAATGGATTTTGTACAAGCCAGTTAAATATCCTAGTTTCTGAGAAAAACAGATTCAAGATAAAGAAAATTATCTTAAATGGATTTAAATTTGTAGCATTAGTTGAGAAACCCGTTAAATCTCTCTGTCTAATAAGCATATATTCATTTTGAGTCACTAGGAAAATATACGTCACTCTTGTTGGAAGCTATTTTGTGTCTCTGGACTTTTGCTCTTGAAAACATCTGGCTGTTTTCATTTCCTGGTGCTCTGATTAGCCTTTCTTATTTGGACGTTGGCAAATAAACGTGGCCCTATTTTGTGTAATCCTATGGAAATGAAAATGCCTTCAGCTTGGAGTTTCCTGGAAATGGGCCAACTGAACAAATATTATTGAGCACCTATTATGTGCCAAATGGTTTCCCCCACACTAGAGATGGAATATTGGATGAGACACAGTCCTTGCCTACTGTCCTGTCTAGGGAGAAAGACAGATATGTTCAGTACAAGATGTTGGGGGTTGTTTGTATGTGGTATATTGCGCCAATCTAGAGATATACACAGGATGTGAAGGGAGGGGTTGAAATTCTGCCTGATGTCTGGGCATGGTGGCTCACTCCTGTAATCCCAGCACTTTGGGAGGCTGAGGCAGGAAGATCGTTTGAGTTCAGGAGTTCAAGACCAGTCTGGGAGACATAGTGAGACCTCGCCTTCACACATACACCCCCCACCCCCACCACACACACACACACACACACACACACACACACACACACACACACACACACACATTAGCCGGGCATGGTAGTGCGTGTCTGTACTCCCAGCTACTCAGGAGGCTGAGCCAGAAGAATTACTCTGAGCCCAAGAGGTCGAGGCTGCAGTGAACTGTGATTGTACCACTGTACTCCAGCCTGAGCAACAGAGTGAGACCCTGACAAAAAAAAAAGAGGATGTTTTCTGTTTAGGATGATGCCTGAAGATCCAGTAAAAGATAGAAAGTGGAAAATGGGGGAAGGATAAGGGCAGACCAGGTCAGGGAACAGCAAGAATACACTGGTTATAAGTAAAAATATGGTGTGGTGTGCTCAGGGAGGCATAACATGATGGCTTGCTCTTACCATTTACATCTGACCTCTCCTGAAATTCTTCCAAAATGGTAGTAAAGGAATAGAGAAGTTGGCAACCCATAAAGGAAAACTCAACAGGTTAGGTGATGACAGCAGGAAAGAGACACTTAAAAAATGTTGGACTATGAAAAGAGGATGGATACATGGTAGCTGACAGTGCATGCTGGGTGAAGCTGAGAACTAACCTTCTGTGCGAGGTGGGTAGAGGTGGAGAGAAACAAACAAATGCAGCCCAGTCAGAAACCCAGAGACTCAGGACTGGAGGTGCCGGGTATTTCTGATGTCTGGGAGGTGGATTTGAACAGAATTATAGGTATATCCCCAGGTCCTTTCTTCAACTCTGCACAGCCAGAGCCTGCCCTTCCCTGCCCTAGGTTTGCTCCCTGGAGAAATTGAACTCTGGGCTCTAGTTCATAGAGGTAGCCTAGGACAGAGGATAATAAGGTTGCATAATAAATGGGGTGACTTTCTGGCATCATTACCCCTCAAGGCTCTCCCATTCTCTTAGGCAAGAGTTTGAAGAATCCACTTGGAGAAAGCCATCCAGCCTAAGGAAAAAGTCGGTAGAATGGATAGTTGGGGTACTCCCCAAATGGCTGGGTACTGCTCGTTAACTACTACTAGTAGTAGTATGACATGCCTGTTGTAAAAACTCCTTCCATCTGCATAAAGCTGTCTTACTCTAAAATAAGAAAGGAGAGGCAGTATCACTAGAAATCTCAGCAGAGTCTCTGTTATAAAAGACATTGACAGGCCAAGTATGGTGGCTCATGCCTGTAATCCCAGCACTTTGAGAGGGTGAGGTAGGTAGATTGCTTGAGCCCAGGAGTTCGAGACCAGCCTGGGCAACAAAGCAAAATCCTGTCTCTACAAAAAAACATTAGCTAGATGTGGTGGCATACACCTGAAGTTTCAGCTTCTCAGAATGCTGAGGTGGAAGTGTTGCCTGAGCCCAAGAGGTTGAGGCTGCTGTGAGCTGTGATTGTCATCATCCTGTCACTGTTCTCCAGCCTTGATGACAGCGTGTGACCCCGACTTAAAAAAACAAACATTGACAGCAACAACAGAAAAAGCATTTGGAGGCCACACCACACATTTTAAAACTGTAATGACAGAGAGGTCATAGAATGTGTTGTTTTGTTTATAAGCCAGGAGCAAATAAATATATTAAGGTATTAATCATAAAGTAAAACATAAATCTTGGAAGTTAAAAATTAGATAGAAATACATAACTCAGTAAAAGGCTAGAAGATAGCATTGGGAAAGTCATCTGAAAGGCAGAAAAAAGGAGAAAGGAAAAATTAAAAAAGAATTAGATTAGTCCAGTAGGATCAACATCCACTAATGGGAATATCAGAGAGAGAGGGAACAAAAACACAAAAGATAAATGATTCAAGAACAATTTTTCAGAAGCATAAGATGTGAGCTTTCAGATGAGACGATCCCACCAGTGCCTTCATAGTTTATGAAAGGAGAAAAGCTAAATTCATATTAAGAAGTGCAAATGTAAAATTTCAAAACAATTTGTATAAGTCAAAGTCCTAAAAGCTTTCAGAGAGTAAATGCAGATCAAATATGATTGATTTCTTTGTAGAGACATTAAAAGCTAGAAAAGAGGGGAGCAATACCTAAATAATTTGGACCAAAAAAAAAAATGATTTTCAACATAGAATTCTATAGTCAGCCATAGAATATTTTGGGCCAGGAGGAAGCACAAGGTATACAATGCATAAATGTAGGGTCTCCACAATTTTACCTTCTTTGCATCTGTTTCAGGAAGCTACTCAAGCATATCCTCCAGTAAAAGTAAGGAAAGTGATAGTAGGATCTAGGAAAGAGGAGGTTCAAACAGGAGAGTACTAAAGGCAGATCCTATAAAGAGGATGGAGGGATATTTTAGGGTGACAGTCCAAGGTCATTCAGCCTAGAATGACAGCTTTGTAGCAAGCTAAGATTCCACATTGGAACAGGAGAATGGAGGGCTCCAGGAGGTATGTCTCCAAGGGGAGGGAGATTTTAATTGCTTGATTGCCTTGTATTTTTGACTGCATGCAAACTTTTTAAAAAAATCATTCTTTCAGAATGTTATAGACTGTTTACTGACAGACACCAAAAACTAAGCTTGTGAAAAAGCAAAGCAATTATTAACTCAGTAAAAAAATCAGATCCCCAAGAAAGAAATTGCACTTCTGTATACTCTGTGGCTCAGCTGTGAACAATATATTGTAGTCATATAAATGTAAGTATTACATATTGATTTAAAAATAAATCATAGTATAACATATAGGAAGAAGAAGGAGACAAGTTGTGTGTGTGAAGTGTGAGTGTAAGAAAATTAAATTTTCATCTTCAATAACAGAAAATCAATTGAAAATGTCTAAAATTTAAATATCAAAATAGTATCATAATCATTGTTATTCAGATTACAGAAGTGGGGTGAGACTATATATGTTTGGTTTTAATAAAATAAAATTTCAATTAAGCAATACGTGTAAATCTATGCAAAAAATTAAGTACAAGATGGGTGGGATTAAAGTACAGTAGAGAAAGAGTTGGGGACCTAGGCTGAATGACATGATCACACTGGCTTTTTAGATTGTTCTGACAGCTATATGTTGGATGCATTTGAAGGTGGGTCTTGAGATGAACTTGAGAACTTGCCCATAGGCCATAATGCAGCCACCAGTGGCACCATTGTAGATTCTGAGCCCCAAGGCAAAAGTTCCCAAATGACCTTTGTTAATTGCAAATCAATCCCTGCTGTCAAAGAGTAGCAAGAGCTTTGCCTCTAGAAGTGGCTTCTCTGATATTTGAGTATTGGGAATCTAAAAAGAGGCAGCTGCCTGAGGTTGGAACAGTTTCCTTCCTCAGGGAAATTATCCCCCAGTGGACAGGACCCTTCTTGTGGAGCCCCAAAAAGCTCTCACAAGTTTTT